GATGTTCGATGAGACAGTAGTAATCATTAAATGGTGATGGCAACAACGGCCAGGTGATGTGCTTCTGCGTGCAGTGAGGCCCCACTCACAGTTAGCTATTTTGTTGTTATAATAGCATCCTTTCATGTTACTCTTCACAGTCAAAATAAGCAGATTGATCACCAAACAAGACTCTCATTAAAATAAATCTAAATTTATACTAATAGCAGTATTTTAATGCAGTTGTAACAAATGATCAAAAGCAACAATGTGTACATGAGGAATGGGGTTCACAGATTTCAGAATTAAAATCATATCCATTTTTGGGCTTTCTTTCCATGCGTGTTTTCACTTATTTAAAATACTTGTATATAATATTTCAAAGCATCACTGATAGAAAAGGAAAAAACTTGTATGAAAGATGGCGTTTTTACACATAGACACACACAAGTATATATGTTAAAATTTAAATTTATGTTTATGAACTATTCCAATGCCCCTTTGTATCCTCTTACCTCTAAATCTTATCATGTTTTATAATGTAAAAAACTAAAGACTGTCCATTTTTTCACTTGATATTGTTACCCATCAATTCTGTGAATTTTACTCTTTCTTTCTAAAAGATTTATTTTATTTTGTTATGTGTATTACTGTGTGCTCATATGTGCATTGAGTGAAGGGGACCGTAGAGTCCAAAAGAAGACACTGGATCCCCCAGAACTACAGGTATAGGAATCTGTGAAGCATTCATATTCGGTGCTAAGATATAAACTCAGCTCCTCTGAAACGAGCTGTATGTCTTTTGTGCTCTTATGTGAGGCGTTTCTCTACTCCTTCTTGATTATTTATTGTGGAAATATTTATTTTCTCCTCTGAAAGTACAGATTAATTTTTTTATCTTCCTGTTTGGAAATTTCATATATGGCTACGTTTTGATGAAGTAGATCTCATTCCCTCATCTCCAATTCTATCCTATGTCTCCCAACCATTTTCTCTCCTAATTCTGTGTTCATTTTTCATACTCACTGAGTACACTTACTGCTATTAATATGTGCATAGGTGTAGGGACACTTACTGGACCTCATCCCTGAAGAAGACTGAACTGTACTTCCTCTGTAGACATCAATTGTAAATACTCTTGAAATACAAATGGGATTTTGTGAGGTCCTCCCCAGTTTATCCTGGGATTGACAGTTTTTGTCTTGTGCAGGTCTTGTAGACTCATTCATAGGTACTGTGAGTTCCTATGTGCAACAGCTCTGTCATGATTGGTGAAATTGTGTCACTAGAGATGTCTACTGCCTGTTGATCTTTTCCTCCTTTTCCACAATGACTTCTGAGCCTTAATGTTGGGATATGAAATCCCATTTCTACAGCTCTTGTTTTCTGTTCATTGAAAGCAGAAGCTTCACTGATGAGAGTTGAGAGGCACACTAATCTACATATTTTGATTTCCTAGGCATCCCTCATTCTAGATTTTCTTTTTATATCTTTTATTTCTAATTATATTTTAATTAGCTTACAAACTAGAGGAATTTTTAAATGATTCTTTATGAGTCCTATATTTTCTGTAGCCTACTCCTTTCCCCCCTCAATTTGTTCCCATCTCCTGACCTCATCCCAGTTTAAAACTTTAGTTCCTGTCTTTGTCCAGACCTAGCATTTCATATCATATATATTCTATCATCTTTTCAGAAATTTTACTTTGTGGCAAGATCATATATTTTTATCTAGCTTTCTTATGCACAGTTAATTTTGTTAAGCCCTTCCCTCACCCCATCATTTTACTTCCAGCTTGAATCTTTCTGTTGCCCCTCCTGGCTACCTTCATTTCCCCTTTATTCAACTGCGTGCTCTCCCTTGATCATTTCTAGCTTTGGTAGCTTCCCAATTTTTTTATTAACCAGGGTAAAACTTTTTAAATTAATTTTTATTTAAATTAAAACAATATTTTATATACCAATCCCAGTTCTTTCCCCCCTCCATCTTCGCTATTCTGCCCCATCCACTCCTTAGGGAGGCTAAGGACTCTCATAGGGGACCAAGAAAGTCAGTCACATCACATCGTTTGGGGCAGGACCTAGGCTGGGAGAGTATCCCTCCATAGGGAATAGGCTATCAAAGCCCATTCGTGTATTAGGGACAAACATTGGTTCCACGGCCAGCAGCCGCATAGACTGTCCAAGCCCTCCCCCACTGATATCCACGTTTAGGGGCCTTTGTTTTGTCATATGTTGGTTCCCCAGCTGTCAGTCTGGAGCCCATGACCTCCCACTTGCTCAGGTCAGCTGTTTCTGTGGGTTTCCCCAGCATGATCCTGATCCCTTTGCTCATCAATCCTCCTTCTCCAAAACTGGATCCTAGAAGTTCGGCTCAGGGCTTAGCTGTGAATCTCTGCTTCTGTTTCCATCGCTACTGAGTGAAGGCTCTAGGATGGCATTTAAGGTTGTCATCAATCTCATTATAGGGGAAGGACATTTAAGGTAGCCTCTCCACTTTTACTTAGATTTTTACTTGGGGTCATCCTTGTGGATTCCTGTAGATTTCCCTAGTGCCCAATTTCTCATTAAGTTCATAATGACTCCCTCTCTTAAAGTATTTCTTTTTCTTGCTCTCCTTCTTTGTTCTTCTCAACCTTCCTGATCCTTCAAGTTCTCCCCCCGTCTCTGCTTCTTCCCTCCCCTTTAGCCTACCTGCCTCCCACTCCTGCATGTTCCCAATTTCAGGAGATCTTGAGCCTTTCCCCTACTCCTGGATCCATGTACTCCAGAACAGATAACAAGAATCAAGAAACACCCCCTGAGTTAGACCCCCCCCCCCCCCCGCCCCAACGCACACACACTTTGTTAACATGAGGTCTTCCACTGAACCTGGGCCTCACTGAGTATGCTACTAAGCATAGCCAGCTTATCCTGGGATACTCTGTCTCTTGTCTCCCTAGCTGTGTTCTAACCAGCAGCAACCACACCTGCCAGGCATTTAACTTGCTTTCTGACAATTTGTGCTTGACTTCTCAGACTTGCAGAGCGAATGCTCTGTCCACCAATACATTTCTCAGCCTGCATGTGCTCAATGTTTGATATTTATCATTCTGTATTCTTTCCTATTTAGAAGCACAATAGCTTTGAATAAAAGTTCAAATTTTAAGAAGTCCACATATCTGTTTGATTTTTTAATATTTCCCATAAAAATCTGTCATGTCTTTGAGGAAAAGCTTTTCAAAATTTAACTTAAAGAAAAATTGATCAAAATCTACATTAGAAAGAAGTAAGCTCAGTAAAATGAATTTTATTGTCTTGGCTTCTAATTTACTGCTTAGATGACAACAAAACTGATTACAGTGAGAATTACCACCCACAACTTAGGTAAATTGAGCCATTCAGAAGTTTATGAAGAACAGAGGGTGACTAAAGTTGCAATCCTCTTGCCATTTGAAAGGATTCATTGTTTTTCTTGTAACTGTTCTTATTGTTAGCACTGTGAGTATGCGTGCTTTACCATAAAGTTTATAGTTTGCTGTGACATGACCCTTTCAGAAAGCAATAACAACAGAAAAGCAACAGCAGTAGTAAGTGCTGTCTACTTGCCATCAAATGCTTGCTATACATGCCCCATTTAATCATCAAGCTTGTCTATCATATTGCAATTGTCACCTTTGAGTGATGGGCAGTTCAGAGATAGAAAGCAGCTCCACTTTATGTTCCAGTTCCCACAAGCACTGTTTCATGGGACACATCTCTCCAAAATGTGTCTAAAGTGCTTCATTTATGTTATACAGCATTTGACTCTCACCCGAGTTATGATATTTTCAAATATTATTTTTATCACTGATGGATATTCAGATCCTGAGTCAATACAGTTTCTCAGCAGGTAAATATAGATGCTACAGACTGACAGCCTTTGTTCAATATCATCAAGTGTCAAGAACTTTACATATATCCTGTAAACCAAGCATGTTCGTTCTTACACACATGCACATAAATACACACATAAAGAAATCTAATAAGATAAAAAGTTTACTCAGAACCTTTATGAAATGCTATTTTGATATTTATCTCAAATAACCCTGGTAAAATAGACTTATCCATATCATCAAAAAGAGTTTGATTTTTCTGTAATGTGTTATAAAATTTATGTAGGTGCTAAAAGAGTATACACAGAAGGGATTGCTGCATTGTTCAAATGAGCTGAGTTTTCCACATCTATTGCTTGTAAACAGAGTTTTAACATGTTTATAATGTGGCTGTTTGCACTTACTCTTTCCTATATATGCCATATTTTTCTGTCCTCTCTGGCTTTCAAACTGTTTTCAACAGCAGAATGTCTCTTCTTGTTATTCTTTTCTCATTATAACTAAGATAGGTAAATTATATAATGTTCAATATCAAAAAAAAAACCTTGTGGCATTGTAATTATGAATGTTCAACACCACAGAAACATAAAGTTTACTGTCATTTTATACTTGGATTCATGGTTAACAAGATTTTTGTAGCTTAACTTTCTAGAGGTATGTAATGAGTTTTATTTCCACAGTGTTTTATTTTTCATGCTTTTTGGGTTAGAAGAAAAGTTCATCATAACAGTAAATCAAAATCTAACAATACATTTCAATTGAACATGATCAATATTTGGAAGTCATTTTTTTCTCTCTCTCTTTTTATTATTATTAATTCAAGTTAGGGAACAGGCTTGTTTCACATGTAATTCCCCTCTCCCTCTCCCTCCCCTTACCCCCACCAACCGGGGCTCCACCAAGTCCACCAAATCTTCCTGTGCTGGGCCTGGGTCCCTCCCCATGTGTTCAGAGACAGAGTGCATCCCTTCAAGTGGGATGGGCTCTCGAAGTCCCCCACATACACCAGGGCAAAAAGCCAGTCCACCTCTGGAGGCTCCCAGGAGTGCAGGGGCCTCCCAGATTGGAAGTCATTTTTTAAGTGACTGATTATCAGTTTCTAGGAACATCCATGGCAGGGATTTTCTTTGGTTCTGTATCTTTGTCTCACAGTCTCATTTATCATTTTCTCAGGTATCCCCAGGCCTCCATGCTGGATCCACCTTGATTCCCATGAACAGCATTTCTCTGCCTCAAGGGGAAGATGATTATGGCTACCAGTGTTTGGAGGGCAAAGATTGTGCTAGCTTTTTCTGCTGCTTCGAAGACTGCAGGACAGGGTCCTGGAGGGAAGGACGGATACACATACGCATAGCCAAAATTGATTCCTACTCGAGAATCTTTTTCCCAACAGCTTTTGCATTGTTCAACCTTGTTTACTGGGTTGGATATCTTTATTTATAAATTTTAAGTGACAAAAATCATAAAAGTCTGGCTTAGTCCAATGTACTCCATTGTGTTCCAGTAACATGAAGTTTAAGTTTAAAATGAGAGAGTCCAATGGTAAAAATCTGAATGATACTGTTATAAGACTAGGGCTTTCATACACAAGTAAGACAGAGGTTTTCAGGTTAATTTATCTAAATGGACATAAAATTGTCAGTTACAACACATTGAAATCATAACATATATTTTTAATTTACTTTTCTTTATTTTGTTTGTATACTATTAATATTGGAACTTGATACTTCTGTGAGACATATTTTGAATATGAAATAATTTTAATACATATTTTATTTAAATATAACTATTGCTTATAATGAAAGATTAATGCCTAATATTACAGTATTCTTTGCCTAGATTGGTCATTAATTTTATTTCTTGTTTTACTTGCCCTTTTTGGGATAGAGATGATTGTTTAAAACAAAGCCATGATTTTCTCAGATTTATTTCCAGGATATGTTACTCTTGAGAAGAAAATAATATGTGTGTTAATTCCTTCTTAAATAATTTCTGTTGTGAACTGTTAATTTGTAACTGTACATATTTATGGATTTAAAAAAATAAACAGTGATGCCATGTCTGATGTTTGAAATGTGAAACAATTAAATTGAGCTGCTTGACAATTACAGTTTCTAAAATGGCCAATTTTATCTGTAATCCAGTGAATTTTCTGCTCAAGTGTTAAACAGAACTCAGGCCACATTTAATCTGAAGATTTTCAAACTTGGATAGAAAATGCTAAAGCCATTTTTAAAATTTTGAATGTAATGCAAGGTGAGAACAAAATCAAAATTATTTTTCTGCCTTGCATGATTTCTGAGGTACAAAGTGGTTAATGCTAAACTGTTAACATACCAACAAAGAAATCAAGTGGGAAATGTTCTGTGTTTTCATTATGTGATACAAAAGAGTGTCACAAATTCAAACAACCAATAGGTAAAATGCTTGATTTAGCAGAGCTTAAGGAATCATCGGGTAATGTAAGCGGTAGGTTGTCTTGAAGATAGACTTAAATATATTCTACTGACATTTTATAAATCAGATATATTTGGGAAATCTTACCAAAAATTTTATATACCCACTGATTTCTGATGTGACTTTTTCAACTGTATTATAATCACTGTGTTCTTTCTTTGAGACATGTGGGAAGCCTTAAAGTGCATCTTACAAATGGACTTTTTGAGAGGCATCTGTAGTGAACTTGAGTCAGGACATCCCAAAATCCCTATAGTGAGAAGCAGATTCTAGAGAGTCTTGCTGTAGGGAAAACTTATCACAATTGTCAATGCTACATTTGTGAGCAGAGGCTTCATCTTGGACATAAAGAGTAGAAGTCTAAAGACTATAGGTCTAGAGAGAAGGCTCAGTGTGCAAGAGCATTCTATGCTCTTGCTGAGGATCCAGGTTCAGTTCCCACATCCACATTGCAGGTTACAGCAGTCTGTAATGCAGGGAGCCTGAAGCTCTCATCTGCTGTGGCCGACACTGCATGTACAGGGTATACATACATACAAACAGTCAAACATTCACATAAAACAAAAATGTTCAGTGTTCACAACAGCTACCACAATGAAAGGTATCATGAACAAGGACGTGTAGAGTTTGAAGGGGAAGCAGTCATGTGGTTGTTTGACACACATGTTTATATTTCAATAATTGTTCCACTTGATGTGACAATCTCTGGGTGAAGCCCCAAATGTATCACAGTGTGCTTTCCCCAGGTAAATACAACTCTTTCATCTTTCTCACAGGCCTCTAAAAAATAAACAGGATTTGAAGGACAATAAAATATTAATTTATTTTTAAATAGAGAGCCAAGTAAAAATTTGGCTATATATGTACTAACTTTTACATATGCTACTCTCTTATGTTGATAGCATTAATTATTGTTAGATGTTAATAAGATTAACAATCATTTAAGGAATAAATGAAGTATGGAGTATCTATTAAGGCATAACATGCTTCACAATATTTTTATGGCAATTTCCATTTTGTAGTGATGTCTTGCTCATTGTTAACAGTGTTTACTTAAGGGACTTTTTGGTTTGTATTGAAGCATGACTAATTGTTAAAATACTTTTAAATGCTTGGTATAAGTATTCTTAAGTTTCTCATTGATGTTTTATTAACTAGGCTATAACGTTGACAATATTTACAAGTGAAAATAAAATTGTTAAAAATATTATATGTTTTTACATATATTCCTTGTATATAACTTCAAAAAAGCATTTTGTTTCAAAGCCAGTGGTATCATATTTAAATAAAAAGATTAGGGAAAGAGGCATGCAAACCTAATTACTTCTAAACCTAGAAACAAATAGATAAAATTGTACTTAGACCTTCAGGAATCACATAGAGCTTACAACTTATTTTCAAGGAAATACAACCCAATTCTTGTTTTTTCTTATTTTCAAATTTAAAGTCAACCATGATGAACTATTATTTTTTTCTCTAATGAGTTGAAATGTATTATGTTAATGTGGACATACTCCCTATACACATGGGAAAATGATTTTTTAATGTGAACATAAAGCAAGAATATGGTCACTAGGAATGACAAGTAAATGTCAAACAGGAAGATGTAAAATCATTTGAAAAGGAAGATGCAAGTCATTTGAAGATGTAAATTCGTATAGACCCAGGTTATAGTAACACAGCTACCATTTAAAATTTTTGAGAAGCAGAATGTGCATAGCAACATTTAATCTACTAACTAGTAGCATTTTGTATACTCTTGAATTGCATTCTAAGTGGTTTTCTCTATATACTCCGTTGTATCCAGATTATTATTTTGAACAGTAATTTTAACACATGTTAAAATATAAACGAAGAGCTGACTTTGCATTTGCTAGCAAAACCTGGCCATTTGGGACCACCTTTGGGTCTGAGTTGTGTTTTCTCCCATGTTAAAGTGACATGCCTATACCATCCTGCAATTGAAATAAAATGATACCTATCAGGAACACAATGCCAGCTGAGTCTGCCTTTCACATGGAAGGACTCTGGGGAGCTGAATATTTTGCGTGTGTGGTGTACAGGAAAAAAAAGTTTGAGGAAATTACTTCCAATTTCTAGTGGAACAAATGCTAAATATCTTAAAATGGCTGCTATGACACTTAAACCCCAAATCTGGAACCATGAGATAACTATAAATGGGTTTTTCTATTACAGAAAATGTGGCAAGGATGAAAGTAAGCACTGGCATAGAAATTTGAGGTATGTATACACATATAGACATAAACACAGATTATGCAAACACAGGTATCAACATGTTTGCTACTTTGTTGTTTATTTAATCACTGGTCATTAGATTAAATCTAATCTAATCTAAGTTACTTTCTTGAAAAATCAAAGAATAGTTCATACTTAGTCAAAATGTACTTACTTTAGACACATGCACTGAGTGGTACCCCCGGTTGAAAATTCTCTCTGCTCTTCTGCTGCTGAGCCATTTGCAAGAATGCAAACTTAAATGTCTATTCTGAAAGAAAAAAGAATCAACCATTTTATCACTGAACAAAGATAACAGAACATGAGAATACAATTAAAAGACAATTTTTGCTTACTTATAAAACCATACTCTTTTTTGTATAATTGGTGACTTCTTAAAATGCATTCATGAATACTCTAACTTTAAAATGTATTCAATGAATTCTTATTTTTTTACATCAAAACTTCATTATCTGGGTTACTTGGAGAACATTTCTGCCCGTCCTCTGAATTTTCAGATATTCTACTCATTTTATTCTACAACAATTTGAAACCATAGGGATTTAATTGATTTATATTTAATTTTAGATTAAATTAATTTAATTTTGAGTAATTAATTGATTTTAGATTAATGAAAATTGCATTGAGATACTTGAGTACAAAGGAGCCATTAATTATATTGCAGGGTTTTATGCTATGAGTATGATTAGATACTGGTGTTCAGAAAGTTAATAAAGTACAATCTAAAATTGTAAGATGGAGAATACCACTGTTGACACAAGTTACCAGTGTTAAATGAGTAGTTATCATGGAATACAAGAGGAAAAGGCTAGATAATAAATTTCAAATAATAAATAAATTAAATAATATATAGTGCATTTTGGATCCTTGGCATGAAAATCTTAAGTTAAGTATTTGCATGTTTGTGAATGGATACTAAAGCAATTTTAGGCTGCACTAGTCTTGTTTAATATTGCTCTTCGATCCTATTTAATTTACATAATCTGTATTTTGTCTCATTATGTATGAAGAAAAGGACTATATCTCAAAATATAAATGTTAGGTAATTACATATATAAATACGTACATATTTGGACAAAGGAAAGAAAATGTTGTATTTCAGATTCTAAAATGGCTGCTGCACAAAAATGATGACCTGCTTTTGCATCCCCAGCACCCTTGAAAGTACCACACATGGTGGTGTATGCTTATAAATCATAAGTTGGGGATCAGAGACAGGCAGAACCCTGAAGTTAATTGGTTATTCTATATGTCCAAATCAATAAGCTCCAGGGAAGATGTGTCTCAAATGGTGAGGTGAAGACCAATCAAGATGTCTACCACCTGATGTAGACATCTGGTCTACAGACACACTCTTATAGATACACAAGCACACACACAGACACGTGCATTCATCAAATACACATAATTTCATACAGACAAACACATAATTTTAATGTAAATAAACCATTATTGGAACTGATAAATCCAATAAGTAGTTTTATTTTTAATTTTTTACCTACAAAAATTCTCTGATTATTTGTCGAAAGAAATAGATGAATATTTCACCATTAGATAGTGAAATGTACAAGAACTTGGTAAGTCTGCGATTAGATTGTGATAACTGGAAAGCAGGTAAGTAAATGGGGATTATATAAAGATTATAAAGCAGAATTTACGTAAAAGAAAATAGTTTGTGTCTTGATAAGTCACTGTAATAACAGTTATTTGCATCCATTAAGTGCACACAG